CCATTCTCTGCATAGGCTGTATTTGAAGTTTAAAGTTCATTTTATTACAAAACAGAGCTTCAAATCAAAAGTTACTCATTTAGAGGCTTGAACATTGTAGCAACATTAAATTAATAAATGCAGAGATTATGTGAATTATGAATTTACTGAAACACTTTAAAAATGAAAGATAAAGGATAAATTTCCATACAAATCATAAAATTATTTAATGAGCTTAGAACTATGTCTGTAACCTAGTTGAAAACAAATGTAATTCACTAAAAGAAAAAATCTTGGAGGACAAAACTGATTTAAAAATCCCATTATATACTCTTTAACATATGTTGTTAAAGTTAAACATAGAACAGGTACTCGAATATGTATACAGTAAAATTAAAGTTTATTTAATTGAAAATAACTTTCAAAAATATTTTTAAATTACACAAATATACTTGCAAACCATGACATCTCAAAACTCAACTAGTACTCTTTCTCTTTGATGGTACACAGACTCACCAGGTGTAAATTGTTTGTTAGCCTTATTATAGGTTAAAGATAAATAGGGAATTCAAGATTGCTGGACAACTGCTTGCCTTTTCTCCAAAGTTTGAACTTACATATAAACTTTTCGTTGAATGTATTCCCACAACACTGACCAGCTCCAGCTATCCAGGCCAGAGCTGGATAAGTCTCCTACCAGAAATTGATTAAGTCTCTTGTCTAGATGAGGATCTTAGGGTTGACATCCATATCCCTAATGTCAGAACTATGGAGAGGCCAATAGCAATTAATCAGCCCTCAGTCTCTCCCAAACAAAACAAAAGAAACTGTGAACAGGAGAAACTTGTACTTACGCCTAAAACCCTACTGGTTTTGGACATGTGTGGTATTTCACATGGCCATGTCCTCTCTTTCTCTGGTTCCTATTCTTCCACTTTGTAAAAGCTAATTCCAGTTTCCATAGCTTAATTATCCATGTTCCTTGATTAAGGGAGACAGACAGATACTTTGAAATTAAAAATAAAACTTTGGGTATATTTTTAAGAAAATTCAAGCAGAGTCCTTATGAACTTTGCTAGGCAATCCAGATAGCCTTCCTCATGGGGTGTTATAAAAGAAACGAGGAATGTGAGAAGAGATAGAGAGGAAAAAAAGTAATTTACTTTGGTCTCTGGTTCCCATTGATAATAGACAAAATAAGCTATGGTTGTTTGGAGGCTTAGCATTTATCTGTCTCCACAGGCCTTTATCCTGGCTATTTATCAAAAGCTTCCTTTTCTGTCTGGGCCTTCTGATTATGAGTGAGGGCTGCCAATTAGAGCATGATGCTGAATCATCAAATTGCCTATGACAGTTTCGACAAAAACTTTGATTATATTCATTAATTATATCACTGTTGGACATTTATTTCTATTACAGTGTTCTTAAAAGTACTAGTTCTACATAAAAGCATGTGTTTTACTGCCCTGATCATGGAACACTCCAAATTAGAATGGAGAGTATTACAAAGTCATTATTGTAAAGAAAGAATTATTTCAGGGATGTTTTTAAAAAGCAATTATGATCCAAAGGGAATGGAAAACTCAGAGCATACAGCGCCTTCTAGATACAATATTGGCATACATATGAACTCACAGAAACCCTGGCAGGAAGCACAGAAGTGTCCAGGATCAAGCCATGAACCATCCCAACATTGAGAAGAAGAAGGGAAAATAATCTCCTAACCCTAAATAATAAGCTCTAACCAATTAAAACCACTTACAATGGAAAAAATGAAATTTCCACAATGCAGTTTCACTGGTTAACCAAACTGCACTAATGACATCCCCCTGCCCAGATATTGGTTGCCAACTCAAACTGAATTTAATTGTAATTTGGAATGAATGCTATTTAGTGTTTCCTCTAAAATAACTTAGTGCAAAACATAACTTCATACAATATTGATAAAAACTAGACACTTCTCATATCTTATTCTAAAGCATGAGGGCTGTAAAGACACATATCTGACAAATTGGTGTGTGAAACCCCTTGTAAATTGGTCTGATGGTTGAACCACACCAGGGTTGTAGCACTTCATAAAGTTCATGAGATGTAACTGTGCCCTGAGAGGGATCATATAACTGCATCTGCCATATCCCTGATATCAAAGAGAAAAGGTCTGTGTATTATATTTGGTCTTCGAACCTTACTTTTAGTCCCTTTGTGTGATTGCTCTTTGTCATGAAGGTGATAGTATGTTTCTATGGTTCTTTGTCTCCTCAGAGGTAAAAATACATACTGGAGTCTTCATGATATATGGTGAAGTATCCAAAAAATGAAAAATCTTGATGACCACAATTATATGATTATTATAAAAATCTAGTAAATCTAGTAAATCTGATTATAAAAAAAATACCCGTGTCCTCCTGTTAATGGATCTTATTTCATGCAGGGTAAAATGAGTGTTTGACATGGAAGAAGAAAAGAGAAAAGTATCTCTTAGAGTGTGTGTTACATTCCTAATTAGGAAACTCTCTAATCTGGATTTGGATCCTGAAAAATCAGGTAGGCTACACTAGCTTTCACTTTAAACCTATCTAATTAGCCTCTCAGTTATAAAGTTCTTTTATGTATATGTGAAAGGAGATTCCACTGAATAAAAATAAACTTTAAACCATATTATAGTATTATTTTAGTTTCTTACATTATCAATGTGTGACTGGGAGAGTGTATGAAATACACAAAAGAGAGATACTCATAGATATTTAATTTCATATTTTGAATTTCATTCAAAATGACTATATTAATGTAGAAACATTGCTAATAGTCCTAGGAATCTACATAGGAAACTCCATGATTTTAAGAAATTTTTCCAATTTTCTTCAAGTGTCAGTATTTTTCTCAACTTACTAATTACTAGGATGTAACATTGTACTGAAGGCCATACATTGAAATTTTTTTCAAAAAAAACTGTGTTTTTATTACTCAAATCCACACCTGTATTATACATAATCCCACAAATGTAATCTTCATTAATTTTCAAGGCTGAGGAGAATAATGAAGGCTGAGCTAGATTGTATCCCTTTCCAAGCTCATATTCTTGCTTATTTCAGTTCCTGACTCCTCAGGAAAAAATCCTTTTGAATATCAGTAATTATTTTAAAAATTGGACTAATACTTACTGGGTAAAGTTGTTCATGTTTAACTTTAAAAACCATTTTTTGATTTTATTTGAGAATAAAATAATTAAAAGTACAAAAGGAAAGAAAATTATAAATGCACAGGCCTAAAGACAAACTGGAAAAATATGTTAATAACCAAAATAAACCCCTTCACCATATAGAAAATATGACATATTATATATGTAATCAGCAGATCCTTAAAGACACTATTTCCTTGTGTTGGTTTGTAACTAAGAATATTAACCCTTGTCATCTCCATCTCACATTGTCCAGACAGGTTTCATGAATACAGTTAGTGGGAAAATTAAATGGTACACATTTGTGGTTCTCAGATGTCTTGTTTTCCTTTTGTTTTTGTTTTTGTTTTTTTGTTTGTTTGTTTTGGTTTTACGAGACAGGGTTTCTCTGTGTAGCTTAAGAGCCTATCCTGGCACTCACTCTGGAGACCAGGATGGCCTCAAACTCACAGCGATCCTCCTGCCTCTGCCTCCTGAGTGCTAAGATTAAAGGCATGCGCCACCAATACCTGGCAGATGTCTGGTTTTCAAGACAAGCAAGATATTTACTATTTTGTGAAGGTACATAGCTTTGTGTAAAGAGAAGCACTCAATAATCAAATAATGTTCTTAGGTCCAAAGACTTCAGCAAATTCCAGAATATAACAAAATTTAAATTTTAATATTATTATGTAAATGAGTAATCAACTATCCAGAATAAAATGGGGAAGCAGGTGTTTTTAAAATACCATTAGCTCAGGAAGGTGGTCTCCACCATTGTGAGCTCAGTATGCAGAGAACAATTATGGCTTTACTACTTCAGCTGCAGACTCACTGAGCAGCATACAGAGACACTGTATCAGAAATAAATGAAAGAAATTAATAGATAACATAGGAAAAAATAAATGTGAGTGTGCTTAAAGCTATAAAGAAGTACTTAAGACAATTAATAACTTGCATTTACATTATTAAGTGTCACAATTCAGGGACTTTAAGAAGCCAATAATTCTCAAATCTATTCAGAGAATGGCAGTATTCTATTCAAAGTGAAGATTATATTAATATTTTCTCTATGGTGAAACACAATTAAAATTTAAAATGAACTTACATAATATACCCATTATTCATGAAGCATTCAG